TTCTTAGCAGTACTAGTAGTTGTAACGGTCTATCAAATGCAAATAATGATACTTGAATTTCCTGAAATAACTGTCTGGAATGTGCGGAGAAACACTGCTAATACCTGATAATCTCGCTACAATGCTCATAGCAATGTCCTTCTAGAAGCTCTATCCTGCTGGCATGCCCTGTAGGCAGCGGCAAATTTTACGAGAAGTGGAAAATCTCCGACAGATCTCCCGCAGCTTCCAGCAGACCAACCAACGGCGGGAAATGGCGGGAAATAGCTGTAGGCAGCGTCATATCGCGTGGTCGATTCTCACTGGGCCTCAAGCCTTGCTTGTGACGCCTGCACTCCCACCCAAGCGGCCCCGGTATGGAAACAGAGGGAGGCCGGGGCACTGAACGCAAACAGGTTCAGTGGTCTAGTGGTTATGATTTCTGTCTCACACACAGAAGGTCCCCGGTTCGATCCCGGGCTGAACCAATGCGAGTGCGGATAGGTTTTTTGTTTATCTCTTTGTGTCTGCTGTGTTTCTTTTGTGCTGTGCTGTGTTTCTTTTCGTGCTGTGTTGGGATTTTTGTCTGCTGCACCTGTGATTTTTGTCCGTTGCACCTGTGATTTTTGTCCGTGTGCACACTGTACGCAAGCTTTTAACCTTTGCCCGGTCCCCGTGGTGAGAGTGTGAAGCCAATTTACATTGTACAAGTGAAGCCAAAGTAAAGGGTAGTGGTGGTGGTGGATAAGAGTCTTTTGATGTTGTGAAGCAAGTCTTTGATGCCGTGAAGCGAGTCTATTCGCCAATGCCGAGAAGCCTATTCATCAATGCCGTGAAGCACTCAATACCTAAACTAAACACGCGACGTCGCGAATGTGCCTCCTCCCGCGCCCCCCACACCAAAAAAGAAAAATATAAACACAGCCGAAACAACATTGGGGACACCCAGGATTGAACTGGGGACCTTCAGAAATTCGCGATGAAGAGGACACACTTCAGCCTGCTGCTCTCCCAACTGAGCTATGTCCCCTGTAGAGTGGGTACGAGCAGAGTGGACACAAGTGCTGGTATACTGGGAGACGCGGGTATGTCGGGAGACGCGGACTGGCGGGAGGCGCGGGCGTGCGCAGGAATGATCTCATAGAGCGAATGTATTTACAACGAGCAGAGAGATGCAAATTCAGATGCTGTCGTATTCAGAGAGCAGCGTAAGTAGAGTACTTAGCGCGCAGAGATAGTGATGATCGGATATGCGGGGAAAGCATCCGGCCCGGCAGGCTAGGCGAGATTAGATAACGTGCAGGCGGGTTGATTTCAATTTGTGACTATCGTATCGCAGGCACGGTGCACACACGACTACGATCCTGGACGGCGAGGAGCGATAACGACTGGGTTGGCTTGGTTTCTCACGGTCAAGACACGGACACGGACACATACAGGGCAGGGCGCGCAACTACCCTCAGCGGAGACACCTACTGCATTGCGCTACTTAGAAGACAACACTGCTCACAACTACGACCAAGGAGCGACATAGAATACCAGGATGAAGGACCACATGGTAGACGCGAATTTCCCGAAGACGGCGGATGGGAGGGTGTACCACCTTGGGACTGGTAGTGGGGATTTTGCGAATCGGATTGTGCGTGTTGCTCTTTTCTTCTACCTTTACCTTTTTACCCTCTTCCTGCGTACATCCCTGCATCTGAAATGAACCAAACGTCCACGTCTACGTCCACGTCCACGAACACCCCTACTATATCCTATGACTGTACTAAACTGGACTGCAGATAACCGTAGGCTCACATCCACGCGCGCGCCTGCTCGCGTCCTTCCTGAACAAGAACCCCGCGCCGCTCGTTATCGAGAGCGAACGAGGGTTTCTGACGATTACGGGGTGGTATACGCCCAGAGTGCATCCAGATGAAGATGGGTGCGTGCTGCCTCTCTTCCTCTTGTCTTGATTCCTGCGCCCGCCTTCCTTCCCGCCTTGCTAACGCGCCTGCCCCGCAGCCCGCCACCCTCCCCGACCCGGCTAAGCATCATCTCCATCGGGATGGGGTTCCCCAACATGGACTTCTTCGTACGCGAAGCCCGGGAATGCCTCCCCCCCTCCTCCGACATGCTCGTCGTGCGCTTCGGCTCCTGCGGCGGAATCGCTACCACCACCTCCTCCTCGAAGGGAATGGGCACGGGGATAGGCGTGGGAACGGTGGTGGTCCCCGCATCGTGCGTGAGCATCGTCCGGAATGTGGATTACTACGGGTTTGGAGGGGAAGGCGGGGAGGACGAGGTGCCGTATTGGATTTCGCGGCCTGTGCAGGGTGATGCGGGGTTGAGGGAGGCGGTGCTTGAGGCGTTGGAGGAGGACGCTTCTCCAGGAGGGGAACCGAGGGCGGTGGTGGGAACGAAGATCAATGCAGCAGCGGACGGGTTTTATGCCAGTCAAGGAAGGGCGACGGGGTGGCCGGATGCGAATGAGGGGATTTTGGCGGAGTTGGAGAGGAGGGGGGTTGAGTCGTTGGAGATGGAGACGCATCAGCTTTTTCATCTTGCGAGGGCGTGGAATTCAGCTAAAGGTGCGTTTCTACGCTTTTCTCTTGGTCAGTGAGTAGTATGCTGATGCATCCTAGGCGTGCAAGGTAAAATCCGCGTCGCAGCTGCACAGATGGTCTTTGCGGATAGACAGACCCGCGCGTTCATCGCTCCGAACGATGTCAAGCAAAAAGAGGCTTGGGCGGGTCGTGTTCTTTTGGATGTCATGGCCAGGTTCGAGGTGGAGGAGGAGTAAGTGGACTCGATGGCAATGTACATTGACAAGAAATAGAGAGTATATGTATAATAAACCGAACCAATCAATTAAGCTGTAGGAGTGGTTTGTTTCAACTTTCCTTATGGTTTGGAATGATAGTCGTCCGCTCTACGCTTCCAAAGGCGCCAAGTTTCGCTCCTTTCTTCTCTTCTTCTTTCTTCGTGTTCTCTCCTTTCTAGATTTTCCTTTTCTTTTCCCTCCTTTTTGTAAACGCAAATATGAAGCGTTGATTTCTTTGCTAGCGGGGTTGTACATACTCACGCGTCGTCTGCGGTGCTCGCACATCTCCCTCGTCTCCCCTGATTCTTCTTCCTTCGTATATCTCCCTTGAGTCTTCTTCCTACGTGTACCTCCTCCGAATCTTGCTTCCTTCGTATACTTACTGAAACCTCCCAGTCGTCTTGAGCATGCCTCTCCGACCGTCTTCTCTTCATTTCGCATTCCCTGCAGACCTAGTGAGCTCTTCGTGAGCGGTGAGCACGCCGGTGTTGGCACAGCGGTTGACAATACTATGCGCAAGAGGAATGCCACGATGAAACGAAGAATACACGAGGTTACTCATACAGACTGAAGAAGTGGTTGTTATTGAACGAGTGCATGGAGTTGAGCGAGGAAGCCGAATAGTGCATGAAGATGAACAAGGGGGCTGAACAGTGCATGGGGGAAGCTGAACAGTACATGGTATTGAACAAAGGGTACTGCCAGCAACCCCCGAGTTCACCCTACTTCACCGCGCGCAAAGACTCCTTATGCAGTAGTAGCAAGTACACTGTACTTCTCTTCCCGTAAGTATGACGACCGGGCTTGGTCAGAGTGTTCTCTTCGAGGCTTGTGCACGAGCACGGCGTTCCATTTGCTCGAGGATACATGACAATTCGAGGATACGCTTTCGGCATGGCACTGCCAATTTCTGTCCGTGCACGAGATATTCGCACAGCATTGCATTCGAACAATACCCAATACCTATGCACCCTAGTGGTAGTAGTATCATGATGCAGCTAGCTAGCTACATAGCGCTCGTAGTCGCACCCCCACTCACAACTTGCTGCTCAAAAAACCCGCGTTGTAGAGAAGCCGGTTATGTATGCTGCGCGGTGTTGGGGCGAGGCTTAACAGTCGATTTAGGTCGCCTTGCAATTGGGTACTTATTAGAGGTCGGCCTGGGTACTTATTACAGGTCGGTGTAGGTGGCATTTGGGTATTAGGTCGGCCTAGGTATTACGAGGCCGTTGACTCGCTCTTCATTAGGAAACTAGAACGACATAACCCCACCGCAACTGGAAACATCGAGGAGCGGATCCGGAGAAATGCAGACTCGGCTGAGGGAGATGAAGGGATCCTTGGACGGTGAGATGTACGATATCCTCGGTGTACTTACTACTCACTACCCTTGGTGTCTGGCGCATTCGTGTCGATATGTCAGGCGCAGGCGCATGTACCACAATCTACTTATGCAAGGTGTGTTCGACTTCTCACTCACTCATTCCATGGTTGGCACAGTCTTATCTCTCCTTGTGGGGTAAGTAAACCAATTATTCAATGCGCTTTCGAGATGCAGGAAACAGTTAAGTTCATGATACATATGCACTTAGTTCATTCCTGCATACTATGCACTTAATTAGTCTTGTATTGTATTCTCGTCTAATTGCACCACTGGCTGCTTGGCTTGTCCAATCCCATCCAATCTCTTGCTGCCAACTTCCTCGGACATCGAGCGTGGACCGAAGGAAAAGCAAAGAAGAAGGTTTTTCCGGACACGAACCGCCGTCCGCCGTCCGCACACAGTGACTGGCATACTTAGTACCCTTCAGTTGACGCAAGGCGTTACAGTTGAAGTCCCAAGCTGTAATTAGTCGGCACCTCCTGTTTGCAATGATAACGCATGTCGGGGTCCTTTGTGCCAGAGTGCCGCTGACCAGAGTGTCGAGCGAGTGTCGAGCGGGTACATATGTAAAACGTAGTCTTGAGTGCACTGCACTATAACGCTCAGCGCATTGTACATTCCTGTCATCATATCATACGCTCAGCGCATTCTACATGTCATCATACGCTCAGCGGCGAGCGCATCCTACATATTACTGTCATCATACATTCTACATACTACATAACACGAGTTGTCAAATTCTCGAGCGAAAAAAAAGACAAAAACCAAAAAGGCTATAGTGGGACAGGCATTGGTTCAGCCCGGGATCGAACCGGGGGTGTGTGAGACAGAAATCATAACCACTAGACCACTGAACCTAGGGGCTCTGCTCTGCTGCTATGATTCCTCGAGCCGCCGAGACGTCTGGAAGCTGCGTATGAACGTACCCTCCAATGGGGAGCATTGCTGCAATGAAGCAGATGAGCGAGATGTGTACTACTTAGTGTATGGTAGCGAAGTGTCATTACTTATGATAGCTACAATAACGAGCGATACATAGATGGACATGACACGTCATAACGCGATCGAAGAGACGTGTATAGCGTCCGAGAACCGCTTGCACTTTGACCTCTATCGACGACTTTGACTCTGCTTTGTTCTTTTTGGCTTTTGGGAAGGGGATATCACGAGCGTGCGCACACCGAGAGAAAAGGCTCGGGCACACACAACACGAATACAACACAAGCGTAGCACGAACACAACACAAAGCAAGCCCGAACACGACACAAGCGTAGCACGAACACAACATAAAGCAAGCCCGAACACAACACAAAGAAGCCCCACGATGCATTTCACGACGCTATTACTTGCGCTCCTCCCTCTGGTGCAGGTCCAGGCGGGTCTGTTCCCTCCCAACGGGCCTGTGAAGATGCTGGACACGAAGGGGTTCCGGAAGGCGATGCGGCGGAATGTGCGTTTTCTTTCGTCTTTCTTGCGGTGTTTGATTTGCTATTTCTTCGTAACTCCTTGCTATTTCTTCGTAACTCCTTGCTATTTCTTCGTAACTCCTTGCTGTCTCTTTTGTATGACTGCGCGGAGGAGGAATACGTAGCAGGGGGTGGAAGAGAGATAGAGGTGTGCATGCGGAAGATGGGATCTCTCCACCTTCGCACTTCCCTCCCTCCTCCTCTCCTCCCCTCCCTCTCCCTTCCCTCCCTCACACCTCCCCATTCCCCACATCAATCACACCCCACTCCCTCTTCTCCCGCTGCCCTAGTCATCCAGCGTCGCACATACTTAACTTACTCACTCACCAACCCCACCTGCAGGAAACCTCCATCGTCGCGTTCGTCGCTCCATGGTGCGGGCACTGCCAGCGGCTCGTCCCCGAGCTCTCGAAGGCGGCTACCGCCCTCGGCGGGGCTTCTTTCAATCCAGGTGCGTCGCTCTTCCTCTTCCTCTAGCTCTACTATGTTCTCTACTCTTTCGTCTTCTACCTCAAAGCATGGCGTCTATTTTGAAGCATGGCGTTTATTTTGAAGCATGGCGTCTACCATCTCCTCTTACTCTACCTTCATCGGCAGCCTCGTCCTCTTTATTTATCATCCAAACGCCTCAATCTAACTGTCTTCTGCAGGCAGCGACGCAAGCAAACCGATGATCCCAGCATACGCCGTCGACTGCGACGCGGACGAGAACAAGGCGCTGTGTGGCGAGATGGGCGTGCAGGGATTTCCTACCGTAAAGGTGCGTGTTTTGTTTTCTTGCTTCTTTAGCTTGGGCGGTGTACTTTACTTATTTATGCGGCGTGCTTCTTCCACTCCTACGGCGTACTTCTCTTCGCATACGGCTTTACTTCTCTTCTCATACGGCTTTACTTCGTTTACTCATACGGCGCCGTCCTGCCTCGGCTTACGCTCCCCTTCCTTCGCGACCCTCTTTCCTCCGCGTCTATCACACTCACTCTTTTCCCTTATATTCTTTCTCCTGTCCTTCGTACTCTCTTTCTTTTTCGTTATAATACAAACACTTGGCTTACCTTGCACAGATCTTCCCGCGTGGAAAATACGGCGGTGCGCTCGACTACAACGACGAGCGCAGTGCAGCGGCCATTGCCAAAACGGTGCGGACGAAGGTTCCCGGTAAGGTGGATAAGGTGCATCTCAAGCACAAAGTAGAGGAAGGAGGAGGAGGAGGACACGAGGGGTGGAAGAAGGTGAAAGGGAAAGGGAAAGGTGCTGGGGATGGTGCGTTTCTTTCGTTTCTGTTTCTGGGACTTTTTTCTTGCGCGCGTGTTCCTCTATTGTATCGATACTTCCGCCACGCTCCTCTTCTTCCTCTTCCCTCTTCCCCTCTTTCCTTTTCCCCTCTCCCACTCAACCCTCCACACACCATCGACGCTCATGCTGAAAACCCTCCCCCCCAAAACAGAAAACACCATCCACGCCGTCCTCCTCCAGTCTCCACACAAGAACAACGGCAAGCCACCGCTCATGTGGAAGGTCCTCGCCACCACCTTTGGGGAGCATAACATCCGGTTTGGGATCGATACGACGACGTTCGCGGATAACGCTGCATCAGCATCAGATAACGCTCGAGATAAAGAGAAGAAGGTGAAGGAGAATTGGGAGAAAGACAGCGAGGTGTGGGTGTACGCGAAAGGGGAGTTGTTGGGCGAGGGGAGGGGAAGGGCGGTGAAGTGGGATGGTACGTACAATCCCGCTGCCTTTGTTTTAAATTCTCGCGGTCGTCAGTACAAATCAGGCGGTTGGCGCTGGCTCGTTTCTTGCGCGATTACATCACTCCGCTCGGCTTGTCTGCTTACGCTCACGCAGGAAAAAACAAATTTGACGCGCTGAGGGCGTTCTTTACGAGTATTGTGCGAGGGGAGGATGTTTTGGAGCGGATGCTTAGGGAGCAGTATCCTGAGGTGGAAGCGGAGGAGAAGAAGGACGATGAAGCTGAGGAGAAGCACGACGATGAAGGGGAGGAGAAGGAGAAGGAGAAAGTGCACGAGGAACTATGAGTTTCCCAAGTCAACGTCTTGCGCGATTTATTTATATATGTAATGATACTTACACAGAAAACAATGGAAAAACTTTGGGCGATACGTGAATGCGTAGCCGCTTCGCATGCTATTCCTGCTGCGGAAATCATAACATGAGTGTTCTACTCGCACCTTCAATGCCTGAAAGACCAAAGCTTGCCAAGTACTGAAAACAAACAAATTAAAAAGATCCAAAACATTGGTTCAGCCCGGGATCGAACCGGGGACCTTCTGTGTGTGAGACAGAAATCATAACCACTAGACCACTGAACCTGAGGGCTTCAAGCCCTTGGCTGTAATGTATTGCGCGCCGTGCTTCCCGGTTCTGTGCATTCATAATATGGGAAAGCCAGGGAGAAACAATCGTTTTTTGAAGATTGGAAGAGAGACGTGGACGAGGAGGCACAGGTTCAGTCTGCAAAAGAATGGGAAAGAATTCTATGTATTAACTTTTACATCTGAACTTATGAACGAGACGGAAGTATATAAAGCTGGGCTGTGGAAACCAAAAATATCTTCTTCAGCCTCCTCTTGCAGTGGGGACACCCAGGATTGAACTGGGGACCTTCAGAATACGAAACTTCAGTCTGCTGCTCTCCCAACTGAGCTATGTCCCCTGTATCTCGCCGCATTGTGCTTATGTGAGAATTTTGTCGAACATGAACGTCGAACATTCACATTGATTGTCTTCGTAGTCGTTCCATTCACATGAGCGTCCAAGAACGGGTAACGGTTACATATGCAGAAAGCCTCAATATTCACGACAGGCAATGTCTATTTGGGACCCCCCCGTACTGGGGGTACTGGGTGGGCGTCCCCCCGTCCCTAATAAGGACCCCGGGGTCCCAAATAAGCGTGCAGGGTCGCATCCCGACGC